GGAGACCCAGGGAGGACCAGGGTCACACTGAATAAATGATGGAATGAGATTTTAAAACTCAAAGCCTATAGTTTTTGTGGCTACGCTGATAATACAGTGTTAAGTGTAAATTAATCTCTCCTAGGGCAGACTTGCAGGGGGAAACTTCAGCTCAGAAAAAATAAAGAGGATTTATCTCCTCATGTTTCTTCTCAGAATTACTTTCAGAAAACTACCCTCAGGGGCGCCGGGTGGCTCAGTGGGTTAAAGCCTCTGCCTTCGGCTCAGGTCGTGATCCCAGGATTCTGGGATCAAGCCCCGCATCGGGCTCTCTGCTCAGCGGGGAGCCTGCTTCCTCCTCTCTCTCTGCCTGCTTCTCTGCCTGCTTGTGATCTCTGTCTGTCAAATAAATAAATAAAATCTAAAAAAAAAAAAAAAAGAAAAAAAAAAAGAGGGAAAAAAAAAAGAGAAAAAAAAAAAAGAAAACTACCCTCAGTGGGCCAGTCAGACTCCAACTGCTTAAATAAAACAGGCCAGGAGTTCTTGAATATATTTAAGGAAGTTAAGGAAAATTAAGTATTATTTTTAAAAGATATGTTTTTATTTCAACAGTCATATAACCAGTTCTGAAAAATTGAAGTTCATGGAAAGCTCATCTGCCCCTCATGGTCTTGCCATTGACTTTCAACATTTTTGTGCTTCTCTTTTAAATATTTCTTGAATTCATCTAATTTTTAGTTATATATAATCATAGTTTCTCTAAAATGTTGTCTTCTACTTTTTTGTCCAGGAAGCAAAATACATTTTTTTCAGTTGATCTTTTTTTATGTTTATTTTTATTAGAGTATAGTTGACAGACAATGTTATATTAGTTTCAGGTACACAACAATGATTTGACAATTATATACATTACAAAGTATTCACCGCAATAAGTGTAGCTATCATCTGTCCCTGTCCCCATACAAAATTATTACAATATTATTGACTGTATTCCCCATGCTGTACTTTTCATCCCTGTGATTCATTTATTTTATAATTGGAAGTTTGTACCTCTGAATCCCCTTCACCTATTTCGCCTAACCCCTATATCCCTTCACTCTGGCGGCCACCACTTTATTTTCTGTATTAATGAGTCTGTTTCTGTTTCTTTGGTTGTTTTTTAAGATTCCACATATAATATTCCATATATAAATGATTTGATATTTGTCTTTTCTGTCTGATTTATTTAACTTAGCATAACATACTCTAGGTCTCTCCATATTGTTGCAAATGGCAAAATTTCATGCTTTTTTATGGCTGAGTAATATTCCATTCTGTCTGTCTGTCTCTCTATCTCTCTATCCATCCCATATCTTACTTATTCACCTATTGATGGACACTTGGATTGCTTCTATAGCTTGGCTATTATAAAATAATGCTGCAGTAAACATAGGGGTGCATATATTTTTTCAAATTAGTGTTTTGTTTTCTTTGTATAAACACGTAGTAGTGGAATCACTGGATTGTATCGTGTTTCTGCTTTTAATTTTTTAAAAAAGATTTATTATTTATTTGAGAGAGAGAGGGTGCATGCACACATGGGGGGAGGACAAAGGGAGAGAAAAACTCAAACAGACTCTGCACAGAGCGTGGAGCTCGATGCGGGGCTTGATCTCACAACCCTGAGATCACTACTGAGCTGAAACCAAGAGTCAGACACATAACTGACCATGCTGCCAGGTGCCCCTGTTTTTAATTTTTGCTGTTTTAATTCATACTGTTTTCCATTGCGGTTGCACCAATTAACATTCCCACCAACAGAGCATGAGGGTTTCCTTTTTCCTACATTCTTGCCAACACTTGTTTCTTGACTTTTTGATACTCTTCTGGCTGGTGTAAAGTGATACCTCATTGTGGTTTTGATTTGCATTTCCCGATGATTAGTGATGTTGCACATCTTTTCATGCATCTTTTGGCTATCTATATGTCTTTTTTGGAAAAATGCCTGTGCTCGTCCTCTGATCTTGTAAAAATCAGATGATGATGATGATGATGATGATTTTAGGGTTGAGTTGTAGGAGTTTTTTATATATTTTGGACATTAACTCCTTATTGGATATATCACTTGCAAATATTTTTTTCCATTTGGCAGGGAGCCCTTTTGTTTTATTGATGGTTTCCTTTGTTGTGCAAAAGCCTTTTAGTTTGATATAGTCCCAGTTGGTTTTTTGGCTTTTTTGTTTTGTTTTGTATTTTTTTTTTTTTTTTTTGCTTTTGTTTCCCTTGCCTGAGGAAACAGATCCAGAAAAATGTTGTTAATGCTGATGTCTAAGAGACTACTGTGTATGTTTTCTTTTAGAAATTTTATGGTCTCAGGTCTTACATTTAGGTATGTAATCTATTTTGAGTTTGTTTTCGTGTGTAGTATAAGTAAGTTGTCCAGTTTCATTCTTTTGCATGTAGCTCTCTAGGTTTCCCAACACCATTTACTGAAGAGACTGTTTTTTTCCGTTGTATATTCTTGCCTCCTTTCTCGTAGATTAATTGGCCATATAAGCATGGGTTTATTTCTGTTCTCTATTCTGTTCCCTTGATCAATGTGTCTGTTTTTATGCCGGTATCCATACTGTTTTGATTACTGTAACCAGGGAGAATGATACATCTAGCTTCCTTCTTCTTTCTCGATGGCTTTGGCTATTCGGGTCTTTTATAGTTCTATACAAATTAGGATTATTCATTCTAGTTCTTTGAAAAATATTAATAGGATTTTGGAAGGATTGAATTGAATCTGTAGATTTTTATGGGTAGTATTTACATTTAAATAATTTTAATTCTTCCAATCCATGAGCATGGTGTATTTTTCTATTGTGTTGTCTTCAGTTTCTTTCATCAGTGTGTTATAGTTTTCAGAGTTTTGGTCTTTAATCTCCTTGGTTAAATTTATTCCTAGGTATTTTTTTCTCTTTCGATGCAATTGTAAATGGGATTATTTTCTTAAGATCTCTTTCTGCTAGTTCATTATTAATGTATAGAAATGCAACAGATTTCTGTATATTAATGTATTCTGCAACTTTACTGAATTAATTTGTTCTAATAAACTTTTGGTGGAAACTTTAGGGTTTTTTATATATAGTAACATGTCATCTACTAATAATGACAGTTTTTCTTCTTCTTGCCAATTTGGAAGCCCTTTATTTCTTTTCCTTGTTTGATTGCTGTGGCTAGGACTTCTAGTACTATGTTAAATAAAAGTGGCAAGAGTGGACATCCTTATCTTGTTCCTAATCTTAGAGGAAAAGCTTTCAGCTTTTCACCATTGAGTATGACGTTAGCTGTGGGTTTTTTTACTTATGACCTTTAATCTCTTGAGGTATGTTCCCTCTCTACTCACTTTGTTGAGAGTTTTCATTATGAATGGATGTTGAATTTTGTCAAATACTTTTTCTGAATCTAAAAAATAAAATTTTTGGTAACAAAAACCTACTAGGACTTTCATTTCCATAAGAATCAATCATTAATTTTGTTACTCCAGTTTTTAAAAGGGGTCTAGATAAAAATGTACCAAATATTCAGGGAGGTGGGTGTTCTAGAGGAAAAGGCAAAGGTACCAACAATAGTAATAAGTAATAAGAAGTAATAAGAAGTAATAAGAAGAGGGGAATATACACTGTACAGTGGAAGCACAGAGGAATGGAGGTGATGGTTGTACTTTGGGGAAATAGTTCACTGACCAGGTGAACTAAATATTTAAATTTTGATTAATTTGAACTAAATATTTTAGGATGGATATGACTTGGCAGAAGTTGGGGAAAAGGATTCTTATAAAAGGTAAAGTGTGTACAAAGTCAGAGAGGTGGCAAAGACCTTGATGTGTTTGGGTGTGGGCAGTTGGAATTCAGAAGCCTGGAGGACTTGATAGCAAGGAGTCTGGGCAGGTAGGCAGCGGCTAGATGGTATAGGCCTAGACTGCTATGTGGAAGGGATTAGAATAGGCCCGTTAAAAACCACTGGATAATTTTGAGCAGCAGAGATCTTGGATCTCATTTGCATCGCACACAGTTTTTTCTGATGTCAGTGTGCAGGGTAGAATCTGTCTGCAAATGACAGGAGTCCTGAAGGGGATGTGTTAGGATGATACGGGCGGTATCAAGAATTCACCTGAAGCAGGTGCTATGGTCTATGATAAATTTACATCCTTAGTGTACAAATTACAAGAATGTCTGATGTACTAGCAGCTTTTAGAGGTATGTGACATTTCTCTTGGTCAACATCAGGGGGAAAGTCTAGTGCCTGGCCAAGGAGTGGGGGCAGCAAATGCCACTCTAACTCCTAGTGTTCATAAAGTGTGTGACTCCCTCACCCCTACTCCGCTCCATCTGGGACCATGTCTTCTGAGATGCTGTAAGATTCTAGTATGGTTGTGAGTCAGAGGGAAACTTATAACAGATACAGAGCTCTGGGCACCATTCCCACGATTCTGATGCAGAGGTCTGGGCTGGGGCTCAGGAATCTACATTTTAACCGGCCCTGGATTGGAGTCTGTTGGATGCACTTTCTTACTCTTAAGTGTTATAATTTCTGGGGCCACTTGTTTGCAGTGTAGTGGTATTAAGCATTATTCAGGCGTAAGTTGCTGGGTTTCAGATGAGGTCTTTGGTTAGTAGCCTGGTCCGTGCAAGCCTTATTATGGTTTATTTTCACTGTTCTGCGTCTGTGGGTTGTTCTTACGTTGTAACTAGACCAGCTGTTGCCTGGATCATTTCAACACTACCTCTCCTCTCTGGTCTTTTTTTGTAACAATATACCAGAGCTCAAGATGATATCTATGGGAATAAAGTAATGTCTTTATCTGAGGTAAATCCTTTTTTTTTTTTCCTCCAAGAGTAGCTATTTGTTGTCTTAAAGAGTTTATGTGCTGAGTTCATTCACTTGCACAGTGCAGTCGCTATCAAATATAGAGTTGGAATGTTTGTTTCTTTTACCCATCCAGTGAAATTTAAATAAAACATTGCTTTTCTCTTTTTAAAATTTACTCTGCTTAGAATTATTTTGGTGGAAAACTTTCTGCTCAAGGGAAAATGCCTTGGATCGAATATAATCATGAAAAAGTTTCTGGCACCGAATTCATAATTGACTTTCTGGAAGAGAAACTTGGAGTGAATTTAAACAAAAACCTTGGCCCGCATGAAAGAGCCATTTCCAGAGCAGTGACCAAGATGGTGGAGGAGCACTTCTACTGGTGAGTCCTGCGGGCACGCTGGGCGAGTGCCCAGGGCCTTTCCGGGCCTTTGGAATAAGCCCAAGTCCGGTTTCACTTTTCAGACTCTCCCCAACCTTTTTAAAGTTTTCTACATTCTGACCGACCTCGGGGTTGAAGTTATGACCATGAATTTCCAGGTGTCTAGCTAGACCAAGGGTAGACAGGCATTTTCTGTAGAGGTCCGGCTAGCACATATTTTAGATTTTATGGGCCATGGCTCTGCCGCCACTCCTTAAACTTGGCCATGGTCATGCCAAAGCAGCATGCTTGCCAAAGCAGGGAATGATGAGCAGGACTCTGTTTCAGTGAACCGATAAAAACACTGACATTTGAATTTCATTTAATACTAAATATTATTCTTCTGAGTTTTTCCCCCAACCACTTAAAAATGTATTTTTTTGTTAAAAATGTATTTTTAAAAGTTTTTTACCTTTTAAAATTTTGATTGATTATTTATTTATTTTAGAGAAAGAGAGAGAGTGAGCGAGCACGAGAGCAAGGAGGCAGAGGGAGAGGGAGAGAGAGAGAATCCTGAGCAGACTCCACTCCAAGCTCAGAGCCCAACCTGAGGCTCTAACTCATGACCTTGATATTATGACCTGAGCCAAAATCAAGAGTTGGACACTTAATTGACTGAGCCATCCCGGTGGCTCCCCCCCACCCAACCATTTAGCAATGTGGAAACTTCTTAGCCTTCGGGCTGTGTTTCACTGACCCCTGATCTAGACTGTAGCTCGCTGAGGTGAGGAAGGTGTTTCAACTGACTCTGCTCTTTACCAGTAGAAACTGCTGAAGTAAAATACTGTTACATCAGACACCCAGAGGAGGGAATGGAGTCCAAGTCAGGATAGAAGTCTCACATGAGGGCACCTGGGTGGCTCAGTGGTTAAAGCCTCTGCCTTCAGCTCAGGTCATGATCTCAGGGTCCTAGGATCGAGTCCCGCATCGGGCTCTCTGCTCAGCAGGGAGCCTGCCTCCTCCTCTCTCTCTGCCTGCCTCTCTGCCTACTCGTGATCTGTCTGTCAAATAAATAAATAAAAAAAAAAAAAAAGAAGTCTCACATGAAAGGAATCATTCAGGCTTTGTAAAATTATCGTCAGTTTTCCTTAGACGACGAGAGCTTCTCTGTGTTCCAGAAGGCAGGTGTCCTAATGCTCTCCGAGCGTCTTTGCCCACGCCTGGCTGACTCCTGGGTACGTCCCTTGTCTGTGTGGGGAGTTGCCCGAGTTCTGTGAGTGGCCTGGTGCTGGCTAGGACCTCTGACTTCAACAGGCACAGGTATTCTTGGTTTACAAACTCATCATCATGTCGGTTTTTTTCTTTGCCTTTCATCCGTTTTCTGGAGTTTTAGTGCCTTTCTGGACACCCCAGTAGATAAGAGAAATTTTCTCCCTGATGTGTCTAAACTTATCTTGTTCCAAAGATTTAATTAAGAGTCATGAAACCACTGTTCTGGCATTTGGTGTCACTCCTGGGCCAGGTGCTCACCGATAGCCTTCACCTCCCCCACTGAGAGATACCCACTTAGTGTAGACGGTTCTTCCCCGCCACCTTCCGATCTCATCAGTTCGGCTCTCTTTCTCCATGGAAACTTGCTTGTTCTTTCTAAGGAAAACTTGCTGTTCCCTCTCTTGGATCTTAAGGGACTCTCTGTTTCTCTTTTCCTCTTTCTGCCTGTGGTTCGTGCCTCCAGGGCAGACCTGAAGTGCCGCTTCCTCTTCCCCCTCCCACTGTAGGGGTGAGGGGGTGGGAGCAAGGAGGGAACCCGGCAGAGAGTGGCAGCAGGGGTGCAGATTAGCCTGGAAGTCAGCATAGACTCCGTGTTCCTGGAATGAACCCAGGTCTCTTCTGGAGGACACCCGCGGAGAACAGTCGTGACCCCCATCTTCTGGAGTGCAGGGCTTCACTGTGGAACACTGCACGTGATGTGCTGAGCCTCAGGGAAAAGCCCACGGGACAGAGCCCATCTCACCTCTTGCCATGTTCGGGTCCCCACTTTGCAGCAATTGAGCAAAATGCAGAACCAGCACAGGGCCACCCTGACCCTCTGTACCTTCTTTGGATGCAGCCCTCCAAAGAGCTACCTTGTTTGATGGGCCCATTAATGCCGAGAGCTCTTGCTTTGTGAGCTGCCTGAAAAGCAGCCAAAAGTCACCATAATTTCCCTTAGTACTTGTGCTCCAGCTCCTTGACTTTTGTAGTGGTTCATAAAATGTATATTCCAGTCAGAAAGACTTTGATCGAGCAAGACTCCCAAGTACCACCTGTCCCTGCTTTTGGCTCTGGGTGTGCAGACGTTCTGTATGTTTACTTCCTGGTGGAAGTTCATCTGTTCTTTCCCTCCCCTTCTCTCCTGGCACCAGCCCCAGCTAATACTTGAAGGGAGGCAGCTCTTGGTGGGGGTGGGCGGGTGGAGGGTGAGTGGGAGAGTTGTGGTACTCTGGTGGGGAAGAATCTCAATTCTATGGACCATAAACACCCACGTGCTTGGGGAAGTTGCTTAGGTCACACATAGACTCTTCTAAGGATAATTTTGTTTCTCTAATCTGCTTTTTAATTACAAAATACATTTTCTGGGAGGGGGGAGGGGATTAGCTACTATTTCTCATGTGTGTCTCCTCAAAGGTTAATTTGAGAAAGAATTAGTGAAGGTGGGAGGTCAGGTCTTGATAGAGATACAAATATCCAGGGAACTTTCAAAGAAAAATTCCCCAATTCCTTCAATTCCCTTTGGTCCCTAGCAGCAGAAGGAAAAACAAACCTTCCTCTGTTTCATAAAGCTCCCTAAACTTTAGTCATGTTGTTGCTTTGGGGAGACCTTGAACGGGCTTTCCCCAGAGCTCTAAATCCTAAAGGAGTAAAGAGCCCTGTCCCTCCGGTAAGAAAATGCCCAAGACAGAGAGTCTGTAGACGCTCTCCGTCAGGTTCCTCTTCTGCTCCCCCTTTCCTTGTCTCAGAGGCCACACACAAAATGTGCAAGCATGGAAACGGTGGCCAGCATGAGGAATGGACCACTGTCTGTAGGAAAATATTACAAGGATGAGCTTTTCTTTTTTTTTTTTTAAAGATTTTATTTATTTATTTGTCAGAGAGAGAGAGAGGGAGAGAGAGCAAGCACAGGCAGACAGAATGGCAGGCAGAGGCAGAGGGAGAAGCAGGCTCCCTGATGAGCAAGGAGCCCGATGTGGGACTTGATCCCAGGACGCTGGGATCATGACCTGAGCCGAAGGCAGCTGCTTAACCAACTGAGCCACCCAGGCGTCCCAAGGATGAGCTTTTCATGAGAGCTTGTTAAATTCCAACAATGTGTGAGCTCCAAGGTTGGGTCTGTGTTCACAGCGGTGGAGATGAAATCCGTTGTTTGACTCAATGGAGTGGAATCATTTGGAGTTTTCAGATATGTTTATTTGATCTGAAACTGTAAAAACACTCCAGGTATGATTTTCTAAAAAGCAAAGACAACGGATAGCTGGCATTGTTACATAAATCCCATCCTGTCATCCCAAGGCTCTGATTCTGGTTTGTTCAAATAAGCACACTAAGTAGAAAGAGGTTTTTCTTGAACTTAAAATCCACACCAGCATGTCCCACTTGCATAACTATTATTGAACATGAAGAAGACAAGTTTTTATCCTCTTTCTTCCACTGAGTGCTTAAGTTAGATCCAATGCAGGCAAGTTAGTATGAAGGTCAGTACGAGAGACATGGAGTCAGATTAGTGGAACAAAATTGCTTTGGGAATAGACACTATGATTTCTGTATGACAGGCTAGTGTAGTAAGAGTCTTGTAGCCCTTGGGGCGCCTGGGTGGCTCAGTGGGTTAAAGCCTCTGCCTTAGGCTTAGGTCATGATCCCAGGGTTCTGGGATCGAGCCCCATATCACACATCGAGGTCTCTGCTCAGCAGGGAGCCTGCTTCCCACCCCGCCCCCCGCCCCGCCTGTCTCTCTGCCTACTTGTGATCTCTCCCTCTCTGTCAAATAAATAAATAAAATCTTAAAAAAAAAAAGAGAGAGAGTCTTGTAGCCCTGCAGGGAGGCGTGAGGGCAGCATGGGCGAGCCATCTGGTCATACCACTTTGACCCATTAAAATATAGGCGTTAGAACCGGGAATTCAAATTTGCTTTTAGGTTGGCCATGATTTTTAAATTTTGAGTTGGGCTTTTGGTGTAGTTTCACTGAAAGGGGAGGTAGGATCCTTACTAAAATGACTTACCCAAGATCTCGTCTAAAAGCCAGCAGTCTCTCTCTCTCCTTGATTACAACTGGGTTAATGTGTGCCCCTCTTCTCTGCTGCCCCTGCCCCCAATTTCAGATGTAGTGAGAAGTCCTCTTTGGAGGGGCTGTTCTGGGGCCTGTGCCATTCAGGGAAATCGCAGAAGCTTATCATACACTCTTGCATTGTTAGAAGACAAGCATACGATGACAGTGATGGAGCAGGACATGGAGAAAGGTGTCCATGGTCAGGAAGGCCTCATGCTAAGGCTCACTCCTCAAACAGTTGATTGCCATGGTCTGTACTTTCCCAATGTTACTGTCATCTCTGCTGTGCGCCAGGCCTCCTGTTAGGTTATAACGAGGGAGATCTTCGTTGAAACATCAGGGGTCGGCTCTTTTTTCCTGTCCTCTTGATCTCCTTTAAAAATGTTGAACAGTATTTATTCTTGTTCTAAGGTAATCAATCTTTAAGAGAGGCCTTGACCCCATTTTGCAGAACAGATCAGGAACATCAGTTGTTTAAAGGAAATGAGTATCAATTTTCTGAAAGAGGTTCTCAGAATGATGACTGAATTGTTCAGCCTCATCTAGCTTCCAGACTGGCCCTCCCTGCCCTTGCCAGGTCATGATTCACAAGTCCTTGCGCAGTGGGTCTTTTCCCAGTAGAGAGTGACGTGGATCTCAGAAGCGAATGGGCAGCCCCTTCTTCATTCTTCAGAGGCATTTCTCTTTCTCCTTCATTCCATTTAAATATTGTCAGCCTTTAGAAACACTACTTAGCCATCGCTGGCTCAGAAGTGAAGCTTTTCTACATTTCAATCAATAATTCATTCTTTCAGTAAACTTAATGTGTGACTGACGCCTAGTGGCCAGGTTCCATGCTGGATGGGGGGAAGCCAGGCGATAAGATGCTATCTCGGTCCTCTGGTGACTCACAGGCGGAGGGAGACGTCGGGCCATCATAATGGTGGGTGCTGGGGGAGAATTGAAGAACTGAGGAAAGGCAGCCAGCACCTGCTGGAGTGATAAGGGAAAGGCATTCCCAGAGGAGATGGTATCACAACCAAAGTGAGGGACCGTCAGTTGTGGGTGAAGGGGCTGGGCGCCTGGGGCAGATTAGGGTGTCTAGGCAGAGGGGGCAGCATCTGCAAGAGTTCCGAGGCAAGACTGAGGAGCCTGGGCAGGCACATGGAATTCTGTGTGGCGGGTGCACAGGAGGCAGTGTGGGGGATGGGGACGGAGAATGGCCAGCCCTGCGTGGGTCAGATTGGAGGGAGTGGGGCAGCTCACTGAGCTCAGCAGCTGGGGGGTTCGTGAATGACTCCGAGAAATAGGCTGATGGGACTAGATTTGTGTTTTAGGAGCTCTTTGTAGCTGCCTTGGGACAACTGGATTTCTGAAGGACCTTGAGGGGATGTCAGGAGACCTGCTAGGAGACTACTGTGCTCAGGGTTGAGAAATGATGAAGGGCTGAGCTACCTGCTGATTGAATTGGAGAAAAGGGCAACTTCATAGGGTGACTGGCTGTCAGGAGCGAGGGATAGAGAGCAGTGAAGAATGGGTCCCAAGATTCTTTCTGGCTTGGGTGGGGAGACGCCGATTTGAAGGGAAGGAAGATCATGAGTGCAAGTTTGGAAATATGGGTTTGTAGAGGATCCCTCAGGTCCTCTACAAAGGTGTTAGGACAAAGGTCTGGGCTGGGTATGGGTTTAGGAGTCATCAGTTTGAAGTCGTGGGTGTGAATTAGATCATACCACAAGTGTGGCGTGAGAGGTAGAAAGAATAGCAATGAAAATCTTGGGAACCTGCATGAGGTGGTGGGAAAAGCAGTAGAGATGTAAGCTAAGGGAGAGCTCTTCTATGAAAGACATGGCCAGTGTCACATGTTGCAGACTGTTCAAGAAAGAGAAAACTATGCAAAGAATGTTTTAGGGGTGCCTGGGTGGTTCAGTCAGTTAAGCATCTGACTCTTGATCTCAGCTCAGGTCTTGATCTCGGGGTCATGAGTTCAAGCCCCGTGTTGGGCTCCATACTCAGCATAAAGCCTACTTAAAAAAAAAAAAGAAGAAGAAGAAGAGAAGGTATGTTTATTGGATTTTGCAACAAGGAGGTATTTTGATTTGGATGAGAGTAGTTTCCGTCAAATGTTAATAGTTTGCTGGGAGCTTGGTTATGGAAGGAGGTGGATTCTTGGTTGTAAGGATTGGGAAGCATGTGTAAATGAGGTTTGCTGCTTATAGCGATTGAGTTAGGAGCCCATGAATCACCCATTTTCTTTGGAATTTAAAGTTTGTACCCACTTCATAGGGGTTGACCCTTACAGAGCCTAGCTGGCCCTCATTTGCTTCTCTTCACTGACACTGGGCAGTAGTATTAGGCTCAGGGAGGGAAGGAGGAAAGAAATCAAGAGCAGTGTGGGAAAGAGAAGAGAGGAAGACCAGTTTCTCAGGTTACCTCTAGATGCGAAATTCCAGATCAACCCAGTATTCCTCCTTCTGTGCCCTCCATTCAACCTATTAACGAAGATGGAGAACCTGATGCCATTGCGTTGGTGGGGTTTCCTCCAGCTTAGCTGTATGACCCAGAACAGCCACCTCTTCCATTCCCATCTGCTACTTGAACCCATTAGCGCTCTGTCCATCACTACAACCTCATCCTGGGCACATGCCCCCACTTCCTGCTCTACGGAGGAAACAGAAGTCACTAAGCAGGAATCCTGAACCCCTCACCTCTTGTGACACGCTCCTCCTCTCTATCTCAGAGCAAGTGGTTTCTTTGCTTCTCTCTAAGATGGCCCTTCCAGCTTGGCCTTCTCACCTTCTAACTTGCCCTTGACCTGTGGACTTTCTAATACCACTCCTTACCCTAGAAACTTCTCCTCTGACAGCTTTAGCACTCTTGCTGACATGCCATCAGCTACAAGTCCTCTATCTTGAGTCTAAATGTATCTCCGGAGTTCTCAGCCTTCTGCACGTTCTCACTTGGGGGTTCCATGGGACCTTCAAACGCAATAGCTCGATGTGTCTTTCATCATTTAAACCTGTGGTACCTGGTGTGTGCCCACCCATATTTGTTAATGGCACTATCATCCACTCAAGTCATTGGCCTGAGAGAGAAGACTTAATCTCTCCTTATACCTAATCCATCAGTCAATAGACTCTTTTTTTCATACCCCAGAGTTTCTCCTCTGCATTCCCTGTACACCCTCCCTCCCATTGCCCTAGCCCTTAGGTCTTGCCAGAGTCTTCTAGCCAGCCTCCCTACTGGTGGTTTCTCCCTTTCCAACCCTTCCTTCACATTGCCACAAACCCGATTATGTTTCTTGTCTGCTTAAAACCTTTCAGTGGTTCAACTTTGCTTCCAAAATAGAGTTCAGCACCCTTTGTCTCAGGCCCAGCCAGATCTGGTCCTGGCCCACCCTTCGGGTCTCTGCACAGGCGTCCCATGCCACCCAGCTGGTGTTCTTCATGCACACCCTTCCCCCTCTGCTCTGGTTGGTGAGCTTCTGCCCATCCCTCAGGATCACTTATGCTTATGGTGAAACCTGTGTCATTCGTCTACCAAGAATGTCTCTTTTTTCACATCAACCTGTCAGTTTAGAGCCACCACATTCCTCATTTTTACTCTTTAGTCACTTTCTGGATGCTCTTATGACCTGGTCATGCTTATTTTGGGAGATTTTAGTTTTATTCTTGGTTCTTGGACTTGTGAAATAATCAAGGATGGCCTAGCTCTTCTACTATGCCTTTTAATCCAGTACAATTCAAATCAAAGTACTAAATTATTCTAATGGAATGTGAAAACTGTTACCTTAATTGCTGCAGGTATAAAAAGAAGAGCAAATAGGAAAGTATTTAGTTTGCATGTTTATAAAGAATTTACTAGAGTAAATATGAGATCTTTTACATCAAAGGATCCATTGACTTCTCTGACTGTACGTAGTAGTTACATCGTGATGTACTTTTTCCTATTTTCAGCAAAATCCATTTCTTGACTCAATACTTTATTTTGAGAGATTTAGAAAGAAGTATACAAAACTTTCTAACGAGATTTGTAGGCATTATTTTAAAAAGGTAATAAAGAGTTATGGGTATAGTGCAGAGAATTGTGTTGAATTGGTTGTAGGATTTTTCAGTAAAAGTCAGGAATGCCTAAAAACTTTCAGAGAAATCTTCTCTTTCTTCTTTTCTTTTTCTTTTTTTTTTTTAATAGAAGAAAGAACAGAGGAGAGAGTAGAACCATATAAAATGATCAACATTTCAGGGACTTTTTTTTCTTTAAAGAATTGTGGTGGAAAATAGCTATAATTTATTATAATTCCTTGTGTTTTCTCTGTAAAAATATTTTTCACTCTTCTAATTTTTTTGAAGTGGCCATTTTGCTCTATGAACTAACACTAGGAGGCGAGACGACTGCCAGTACATCTTTTATGGCTCGTTATGGGGAAAAACGAAAATATCTTCTTTAGGCACTCCCACAGCTACATTCTTCTCAGCCTTCAGTAGGACACCCTTTTAATTTCTGCCCGCCAGCACAACCAGCACTATCAGGAAACACAGGAACATTCCTGCAATTGTATATGTTCCGAGCCCCAAATCGGCCAAGGCCCGAGGGTGGTAGCCGGCAGCCCACATGCACCCGGTCGCTGCTCAGCTTCTCTGCAAGTCCCATGGCAACATCTGGACCAGAGAGGTGGCCACAAGCATCGCCCAGATGGGAAGAGTGACTCAACGGAGTTCCTTCCGTCTTTGTATTCACTTCAGAGTCCTGGAGCACAAACTGAAACCATCCTCCAGGCTTTCTGGAGAGCAAATCAAATATATAATATTTTTATATTTTATAATTTATAATAGTTTATAATTTATATAGTTTATACTAACCTTGGACAGGTATATCTACTCCCTAATCCTCTGTCAAATAGGCAAAAGTTTTCTTTTTTAAACTACCCTTTGATATGGTAAAATCTAAAATGCATACACAAATTGTACAAAAAACCCCCCAAAAGGTGCAGCTTAATTAATGAACACAGAGCATATCCCTGCATAAGCATTCCTCAGATCAAGCAAGAGAATGAAGCCAGTCCCGCAGTCACTGTGCCTCCTTCCTGGTGTCCCCATAGACCTGCACAGTCCTGCCTCAGAACCTCTGGAAGGTTTTCTGTGGGGTTGTTTTCTGTGGGGTTGCCTAAGATGATCCAGAAGCCAGCCTTGGGAGGTGGGGGGCAGTGTGGATCTGAGGGAGGGGTCCAGGAGAGGTTTGGTGGAATTGTGGCATGGCATCGGTATCTGGATTTGTTCTAGTTTCTCTTACAGACCCAGAGTCTAGGCATTGGCCAGAAGCTGTTGTGACATCTGCCATGCAGAGACCGCTCTTTGTAAAAGCCGCTCTTGCTCATTTCCTCCCGTGTGCCCGCTTCGGACGCACTCTCTGGAAATGGACTCAGGAGCTGATGTGTACCTAATGCCCAGTAGTAACCTGTTTCCACACAATTCCAGGACGTTAGCTTATTGCCAGTGGGTGGACAATCTCAATGAGACCCGGAAGATGCTCTCTCTTAGTGGTGGCGGTCCCTTCAGTAACCTGCTGAGGTGGGTCGTGTGCCACATAACGAAAGGAATTGTGAAGCGCGAGATGCACGGCCACGGCATTGGCCGCTTCTCAGAGGAGGAGATTTACATGCTGATGGAGAAGGACATGCGGTCCTTGGCAGGGCTTTTGGGTAACGTACCACACCTTCTATTCTCTATTTTCTGTCCGCACCTTTTTTGCATGATCCTTAAAGCGCTCTTAGTTGGCTGATTTGAAGTCTTATTTTGGTTGGTTTCTTTGCTTCCACGTGTAGGTGGCGGCCCCACCATTTAACCCGACCCCCTAACTTTCAGGAGCAAGTGTCCGTGTCCTCCGTCACTAGCGCCAGCCCGGCCCGTGTGGCGAGGCGGCGCGGAGAGGACGCGGGCGGGCTGCGGGCTCACCGCCACCGGCAGCGCTGCCGGCCGCTGGGGAGGCCGTGGGAGCCGCGGGTGGTTCTTAGCCGGGAAGCTCTTCGGATTATGACAGGCCTGGGTGGAAGGGCTGCTTGTGAACGCCTCTGCTGGAGGAGTCCCGGGGTCTCCGTGGCCATCAGGCTGCTGCGAGCGCGGGCAGCGCCGCTTCTGACCCGCTCGGCGGGCACCTGCCGCGTGTCATTTCTCACGCCTGTTTCCGTTGGTGATCTCAGTGCTCTCCTTCCGAGCGCGTTGTAACGCTTCTGATTTTGCATTTACGGCACACAGTGGGTTTCGCTGTGCCTGGAAGCCCCTCGAGGGGGAGGAGGAGGAGTCCCGGAGCGGCGTATGTGTGGGCTGGTGAGTGGAGAGCGGTGTCCTTGCTCCCCTCGTTGGCTGGGCTGATGTGACTCTGTGCCCGGCAGAGCGCGAGTCTCAACTATGTCAATTCATAAACACATCGTTTGAATTCAGGAGCTTTGGTGTGGGAAATGATGGTTTCTCCTGGGGACATCTAAGCCCTCTGTGTGACCAGCTGTGTGACCCGGTCCCTTGGGACCGCGTATTTTGGGGTTTCACTAACTTTCTTTTGGCGTTCTCATCTCCATTCTAGGGCACATCATGTTCCTTACCTTCTCCAGGAGCGGGGGTTGGGGGTCTGTTTTGTTGAAAACCATGGGGCCTCCAGGAACTGTGGGCTGTGCTAGGTAGACCCTGCCCCCTCTCCTCCATGGTGACTTGCTCTGACTGGCTCCTTTCCTTTTCTGCACTTCAGGTGCTTCCTGGACCTGGAGTTACCACCCCCCCCAACCCCCCTCCCCTGGCCTGCAGGAGGAGAGCCAGCCCAACAGCATATCCATCTCTCTGCCAGCTTTGTTTGGGGGAGGGGGTTGATGCTGTCCAGACCGTCTGGTGCTTTCTAGGCCCTGCCTGACATAGATATGGAATTGGCCTTAAGTTCGCCTCGTTCCCATGGAAACAGCCCTGGACTTGCAGCCTCTTGGAGCAGGCCTGCCATGGGCCGTTTTCTCCTTCGTAACTGTTCTACCTGCTCGCAGCTTTCTTTCCAGCTCACGCTGTGGGGAGCCCCAGCAAGCCAGGCACGGAGCCCTCAAAGTTAAGCCAGAGGTTATGCAGTAAAGTCCTGCCCGTCTCCAAAAAGTTCACAATGTTGTTTCCTTAACCAGGAGGGGGTGAGAATCAATGTCCTGGAGCACTTCCGGTCGGGAGAACTGGGGAGCACGGGGTAGCGATTCTCTGATTCTTAATGACTTAGCAAAGTGCTTCTTTCCCAGTTGTGGGGAGATGGGAGGTAGAGCTATTATTGGCAGCTGGGTTGGAGACCTGGCAAGTATTCCAAATACCATCAAGTCTAAATCATTTCCTGAGATAAGAAATTGATTCAGCTATTTGAAAAGCAGGAGTCCACTGGAGTTCTCTTCCATGCGGGAGCTCAGGGAACAGTCTAGGCTCTCATGAGAAGCACTTTTGCTGCCTTTGGGGAGGGAGAGGCTCTTCAGCTGAACATCAGAGGTTTTCTTACTAAATGAGATAAAAGCGTTACCTCCCCCCTCACCGGGAGATGTAGCTTAACTTTTAAGGCCCAGATGCCTGAGAGACTCAAAATGCATAATAACTTTTTGTTAAGTATTTCAAGATTTGGGGAAATTGTCTAGGGAGGTATTTGAGTCATCAGGGTAAATTAATTATTGCTGTTTCAGTTCAATTGACTTCAAGGATTGAAGACCTTCTTTGGGGCCAGCGCTGGGGAATACAAAAGTGAATAAGAGATGGTCCCCACTCTCAGGCAGCTTCCTCTCCAGCGGGAGAGACAAACTTATAAGCCAGGAATAGGCAAATTGTGGCCCATAGCTGGTGGCCTGTTTTTTCTGTTTGTTGTTGTTGTTTTGTTTTTTTAATGGCTTATGAGCTAAGAATCATTTTTATATTATTAAACTGTAGGGAAAAAAATGCAACAGAGATGAAATATGGCCCAGAAAGCCTAAAATATTTACCATCTGAAGCTCCACAGAACTTTGTGGACCTCTGCTCTAAACGAGTACCCATGTTCAAGTTGGACTGTGATAGGTGGTCTATGCTTGGTGCCCTGGAGACACAACAGGGTAGGGGTGAAATGGCAGGGAGAGCTTGGGAGGGCCAGAGAAGAGGCCACAGGCGTTTTGGCTCCAGAAAATAAGCAGTTGTCCCAAGGAAGAAAATAGGGAAGAACCATCTGGGCAAGTCATGAGAAAAATGGTCACAAGTGAGGGACATTTTGGAATCACGGTTGAAATGAAGGTTAAAAGGTAGTTTGGGACCGTATTATAAAAGGTAATAATAATGCTAAGATACTTCGTCATACAGAAAATATGGAGAGGGTGCAGACTTTTGAGTATTACAGAGAAAGAGGCATGTTTGTGATTTAGAAAAGTGGCTCTGTTGGTGTCATAGCAGATGACTTGGGCCTGAAGGGGTGGGTGTTAAGAGAGACTGAAGATAGGCAGCCCATATCTTTGGATGTAGTTTAAAAAAATTGTGATGAAATTCAAATCAAAAAATTAAATTAAAAAAAATAAAAATTAGTTGAGAAAGATGATACCTTCATGTTGGAAAGGAGGAGACAAAATTATTATTTATAGAAATTAAGAGATTATGTAGCTAAAATAGGGACACCTTGGTGGCTCAGTCAGTTAAGCGTCGGCCTTTGGCACAGGTCATGATCCCAGGGTCCTAGGATTGAGCCCCCACGATGGGCTCAGCAGGGAGCCTGCTTCTCTCTCTCCCTCTGCCTGCTTCTTCCCATGCTTCTGCGCTCTCTCTCTGTCAAATAAACAAAATCTCAAAAAAAAAAAAGAGATTATGTAGCTAAAATAATAGAGAATCAAAATTACGGTTAATGAGGGAGTTCAGTAATTTTACAAAGTTACAGACATCCAGATGGCCACCAAACACATGAAAAGATGCTCAACATCACTCAGCATCAGGGAAATGCAAATCAAAACCACAATGAGATATCACCTCACACCTGTCAGAATGGCTAAAATTAACAACACCGGAAACGGCAGGTGTTGGTGAGGATGTGGAGAAAGAGAAACCTTCTTGTACTGTTGGGAATACAAATTGGTGTAGCAATTGTGGAAATCTGTATGGAGGCTCCTCAAAAAATTAAAAATAGAACTACCCTTTTTTTAAAAAGAAAAGATTTATTTGAGAGAGAGAGAGAATGAGCAGTGGAGAGGGGCAGAGGAAGAGAGAGAGAAAGAGAGAAGCAGACTTCTCAGCAGAAGACAGATGTAGGGCTTGATCCCAGCACCCCAGGATCATGATCTGAGCCAAAGACGGACACTTAACCAACTAAGCCACCCACACACCCCCAAGTAGAACTACTTTATGATCTAGGAATTGCACTACTGGGTATTTACCCCCAAAATACAAAACCACTAATTTGAGGGGATACATGCACCCTTATGTTTATTGTAGCATTATTATAAAGCCAAACTCTAGAATCAGCCCCAGGATGAATGGATAAAGAAGATAAATATATTATAAATAGTGGAATATTATTCAGCCATAAAAAAGAATGAAATCTTGCCATTTGCAACCCATCAATAATAGAGAGTATTATGGTAAGTGAAATAAGTTAGTCAGAGAAAGACAAATACCATAGGATCTCACTCACATGTGGAATTTAAGAAACAAAACAAACAAGCAAAGGAAACAAAAGAGAGAGAAAGACAAACAAAGAAACAGACTCTTAACTATAGGGAACAAACTTATGTTACCAGACAGAAGGTGGGTGGGGGGGATGGAGAACATAGGGGATGGGGATTAAAGATAAATTCATCCTGGGACACCTGGGTGGCTCAGTGGGTTAAGCCTCTGCCTTAGGCTCGGGTCATGATCTCAGGGTCCTGGGATCGAGCCCCGCATTGGGCTCTCTGCTCAGCAGGGAGCCTGCTTCCTCCTCTCTCTCTGCCTGCCTCTCTGCCTACTTGTGATCTGTGTCCGTCAAATAAATAAATAAAATCTTTAAAAAAAAAAAAAGAAATTCATCCTGATGAAATAAACCAAAATAAAATGGCAAGAAGTTTACAAAGTTACAAACATGTAAATCTCGATATCTCAAATAACTGATTAGGAAATATTAAAAGTTTCCATTTATAATAATAAAAAATCAAAATATTAGAAATATTTATGAGAAATATTCAGGTCCTACAGAAATAAAATTGGATAGTTCTAATAAGAGATAGAAGGTTTTCTAGAAAATGGGGCGTATACCCTCGTTTATCCATTGGAGAGTGATTCGAAAGTATACCCTTGTTTATTCATTCAAGAGCCAGAGGTCTAACGTAGCTCCATCACTTCCTAGTTCTGCGACCTTGGGCAAGTTTCTGAACTTCTCTAGGCCTTAGTTTCCTTATGTGTAAAATGGAGACAATACTGGTGAAAAGAAGAGTAGCACATGTGAAGTGCTCAGAATAGTGCCTGGCAGGTAGTAAGCAATCTAATAACAGGCAAGTGTAAAACACAACTGTGATGAGGGCAGGAAGCAGAGGTTCACGGTGCTGTGGGTGCTGATAATGCGGGGAGGGCTGCCCAGTGGTCAGTGCTAGCCCCTCTTCAGTTCGGCATGTTTCCATGTCCCCTTGGGGTAGGTGTATACATTGGAAGCAGAAGCAATGACCAGTAGTGGATGCCTGACTTTCACCTTGTGCAAGAAGTGTGTAGACTATTT